GAATTTTGATGCTTTGAATTATACGCTGCTGCTGAGAATATATACCACGAGATCCTAGTCTATATTTTTCCCCGAGTTATATCGCACGGCGTTGTGTCTTCCGTAGCCTTTTTCGTCCAATAGGGCGTTTCGATGTTTACGGGTATTACGTTTTCGTTGACTCTGTCTTATATTTCTGATATTTTTGATAACTGTTGATCAGCTGTTTTTAAGGCTAAGATTACTTTTCAAAATATATTTAAATCTGGTGTTTGATCGATCGTGTCGTTCTGAAACTGTGCGTGAATTTATTATATATTCAGTCGATGCAATAATTAGACTATTCACTAAAATTTTAATCAAACATATAAATTCGGTACTAAAACATCATTAAAATATATGATCGGAAGTGGCGCGTTTGCATAATAAAATAAATAACTAGTTCGTATGGAGGTAAAAAGACTTTATTATTCTTGAATTATTAAATTCACTATATATCTGAGCAGAAAGTGCAGTGCCGTACTGACAAAGAGAGATAGCACAATACGAAATAGATAATAGCGCAGAATTTCGATATTAGATATATTTAATATTGAAGCGTGGATTGTTCCAGTTTTATTACGGTCGTAAGTTTTGAAGATGCATTTAATCAAGCGGCACAATAGCGGCACTCGTTGAAATACATCGTGAGTTGTCAAAAAGTCGAAGACAAAAAGAAAAGAGGAACACGTGCGATCTCCATTATTCAACGGTGGCGTCTTCCTCAATTTCTTTCAGGCTACTTTCCATTCCGAGGCGCTTCGCGGCCAGACAAGAAGAAGCGAACGACCTCAAAAGACCTCCTTCACCCGGCGTCCATAATTAATAAGATTACCTTTGACCCAGTTATTCGCAGCAGCAGCAGGTATACCTAATCCATCTTCTGACCAGAGGGAGCTACGCGCAAGCGAACGCGCTCCATATGCGCACACACACGTACACAAAGCTTTGAGCGGAGCGAGGCTGTTGCTATTCAACTCTCGACTGTGAATTTCGGCGACTCGCTAATTCACGGCTGCGGAGCGAACGGATCTTAATCGGACACGAGTGTGGTTCGCGAGTCTGACGGGCTCTGCGGAATTGAATTGAGCGCGGTCTCGCGCACCTCGGCAATAGTAGCGGCTGATCGATGCGTCGCGCGTGAAAATATACGCACGAACCAGCAGAACGTCATGTCTTTTTTTTTATTTTCGTGGCCGCGACGGCAGTTTGTCTCGCGAGAACGGATGTTTGCTGTACTGCGACACTTTCGACGCCCGCGGGATGTCACGCATTGCACGCGCGCGCGCCCCGAAAAATCGATGGAACGTACGCTCAAGCTTCTAATTCCAGCTCTCTGATTTATCGGCAAATATATTTCGGCACGGCGCGAGAAATCGTCAAAATGTATTTCATATGCACCAGCGCGGCTTATTATTGCAGCCTTTTGATTTTGAAATGACGCGAGGAACGAAAGAGCTTAAAATTAGGATAAATCGATATTTCAACGAATATTTACGTTTCACCAATTCTTGTTTATTCACGTGGAACATTTTTACTTCGGTTTTTACATTGACAAATGGATCTTTAGGGTATGTAAAAATTACTCCTACATCAGAATAAATCATTCTTTTTCTACTGTACGTGTAATTATATCATTACATTCAAAAATTAATTAAAAATATAATGACAAGGTATAGTAACTTAGCATTGACATTCTAACAAGTTTTGATCATAAAATATACAATATTTTATAATCTTTGGAGCGACACATTATTAAAAAACTTTTTAAGCGTTTTTATAATTACAAATGAAAATTATCAACTAATTAAATAACTTTTGTAATATTCGTAATTCGGTGACGAACAATTACTAATAATGTTGCTATTCTTATTTTATATGCCGTTTATGCTTCATTCTACAGTTGAATTAAAATATGAGTATATTATCTTAAAAAAGTATAATTGGAGTTATATTATGTTCGATTAACTTCTTTCGAACATAATAATATTTTGTTTATATTCTTTTTGCAATAAAAACTTTTTGGATTTTAATTATAAATTTCGCTGCGAATTATGAAGTTCTATGGATTAATCGCAATTGGGAATATCAAACAAGCGTTTTGCGAACTTATTAAATCTAAACTACTCTTTATTAGAAGCAAAGTTTAATTTGATGATAACGTAGCTTCTCTTTGACATAGTAACGTAAAATGCAATCGTTATTCAAAAGTATAAACTTCCCACGTTACTAAACTCCATTTATAGCAAATTATTAAAGAATACAGACTTATACACCAAGAATGCTTACGCCAAAATAGAGCATATGCCACGATTCTTTAATGTGACTCTCACGTCGACGTAATTAAGGTTTCGTTTTCCATACTTATAAGGTAATTATGTCACATTCGAATAAAACATCAAATGACTTTGTACTATTGCGTGTTAATAATCGTAATGAAGTTCGAAGTTCGTGCCTGTCTACTGTCATGCCGGAATATCTGTAAAAGCGTATTATACTCCATTCACTCCATTCTTAAGTCAGCAATCGCCGAATCTATTGCTTTTATAAATCTAATTATCGGGTGTAAATGGAATTAAACGGTGTAAGTCTAAACACGCGACGGCAATGCACCTGTAGAAATATATTTTTTATCGTTATTTCTTATTTATTCTTTGATGAATATTAAAATATTCCATAAATAAAGGAATAAATTAATATGCATTTGTTTGATCGATCAATTCAACTGAAATATAACTCATTCGGACGGAATCTCTATGACCGGAAAATGAAAAATTCGTGTAATTTCTCGAAATATTTTGATGAATTACAGCGAAGCAATGTGAAATAAAGAATAAATACGTACGCTCGGTGAAAGAACGAATGTAATTTGATATAGGGAAAGAAGTAAAATCATCGAGCCGCGAAGCGCAAACAATGCACAGCAACGGCAATTACGCGGACGAGCAATCAATTCCGATCCTCTTTCGTGCAGAACAAAAAGCACATAGTCACCGGCGACGCTTATTAAAACTACAAGATGGGTACGCGCGATATTCATCGCGTATAACTTGAAATCTATGTATTCAAAGTAAATTGTTTTGTTTGAAAGAAGTATTTTTTTTTGGTAATTAGCGCTTTGTTAGTCAATATCGGCAAGCACCGAAGAGCATATTGAATTTGAGAGGAAATCGATGTTCAGTAACTACGGGGTTTTCATTACAACGTTGCAAGGAAGACGCAGTTTTGGGGCTAACAGATTGTTAGTATGATGTTTCCGTGTGATTTTGCAAACTCGCCGTGCAGGCAGATGTTTTTTCTGGAAAACTATACGGTCGAATGTGCATTCGGCATATCGAGTATAATCCATTGGCGCCATCTGGACCAAGGAAATATCGGATACATCTGAATCCGAATTGTATAAAGTCAAGGTTGCAGCAGCTATATATACGGTTGAGCCCCGTTTCTTTTCTAATGAACTTTACGCGCAACGGTCGGGACGTATCTATTGTACTTGATAAACTCCCAAAGTATGCTTAACTTTTGTGCTCAGTGTTATTGAATTTCTCGAAAAGTCATAAATAGTTTCGATACCGAAACGGGGTTGCAACTCGTTAGCTACATATTTACACACGCACACAATAAGCTAATTATTATTTAGCTGGAATATTAATATCGTACTAAAGTTTTGTCAAACAGAAAATACGCTGTTTTTTCGAATAATTGATTGCGAGCAAACGTATATGGCTGTTTACTCGGGAAAAGCGTGATTCGATTTTAAGTCACAGGATGCGCGATTCGATTTTAAGTCACAGGATGCGCGGAGGGAGAGGCAAGAGTTTGCACCGGGCTGACATTATCGGTAAATTGCAATATTTTCCGACACGTGCATATCCATGGGCACATTCTGAAGTGGATATGTCCAGAATTCCAGCTGAAGTTAGCAGCAAGCATTGCGCAATGGATAATGCTTTTTCGTGTATATATAAGCTCCGATTATCGGGTGATAGCAATTCCTTCTTTGACACGGAAGCTTGTGCAAACTTTTGCCGCTGCTTGTGTGCAACGACTTTTCTTTCCTTTTTTTTATTTTCTTTACGGATAAAGTACCTAATAAAAGGTGTCATTTACAGCGGCAGTATTGTGTACCAACATATGCTACCATATTTTTCGTCTTTTCTGCGACTTCTTTACAAATCGAGAAATTAAACAGAACTTGTATAAAATTTTACGTTGGTTTTAAAAGAAAAGAAGAGAAGGAAAAAATGCATCGTTTGCGATGATGAGATATGAAATTGTGCAATGATTTACAGTTGTTTTAATCTCTTGCCGCATACCACGTCATTTCAATATCAATTTTATGGCGTAGACTGTTGTAAATTCTGGAAACAAATAGGCTTTCGCTGAGCGTAGAAAACTGAATGTGCGAGGGTTAATGGCAAAGATGACGATCGTTGTATGACGCGCACAGATCGAAACTTTGAAGAATCGAAACACAAAACACTATCACAACCAGTCATATTCACGCCATGATACGAAAGGAAAGATTCATTTTATTAACTAATTAATGTTTTTTGAAATATGAATGCCAATCGTTGTGCGTATTTGGTATATAATACTTGCAGATATAATTTGTGAGTGTATCAATTCTTAATTAGATAAAAGTTAGTTGAAAAATAATAACCGAGAGCTTTGACATTTAAGAGAGAAAACTAGTTTGAGAGAAGAAAAGTAATTTAATTGTCCTCTGAACGATCTCAATCGATATAAAAGAAGCGGTGGCTCAACAAAGGAAGTAGGCTGATGCAAGAAAGCGAGGCTCGAAAAAAAAAAAGATCCAGAGTCTCGACGATAGCTCTTGATTGTATCATACATCGAGAGCTTTATCTTCACACTGACTTCGTGGCGTCTTAGACGCTTTTTTTTTTGTCACCTAGAAAAAGACAATCGTGTGCGAGACGTCTCCTGTGTTATTACATTATAACTTTTTTTATGGGTTTCAGACCAGTTACACCGGCAATCGAAGAGAAAAGGTATATTCCAAAAATGACTCTTTTGCTCTTCATTTCCCCTCCCCCCGCCACCTATTTTCTTAGCAAGCAGCTCAAAATAAAAAAAATTTGCTCATATGCACGAACATTTATTCTTGTGTTCCGCCATTCTTTTTCATATAACTCAAACTGAGTGCCGCGTGTTACATTTTTTCCTGTTTTTTATCACATGTTGTACGCCATTCTTTTTTTATTCTCGTCTCCCTTGTTACCAAAGCGGCAACAGCAAGCTTTATATTTCTCTCGCCTCTTTTTCTCTAGAGCAAAAGACACGTATGTTCAATAAAGTCCTTAGAGAGGCACAAGTGCACCGACCAAGAATGAAAAAAAGAGAGGCGAGAGATTCCCGACGCTTGAGCAACGACTCGGAGCTATTCAAATGTAAAGCGAAGATATTGAAAAAAATGTCTTTTTTTTGAGAATTCGATTCCAAAATGATACACCGGAAAATCACCCTCTGATGATATGATTCAGATATGCGCACCGCTCCTATACATTGCCAAGGCGTCGGAAAACTTTTAGCCTGAGAATGGCTTCATGAACGAGCTTTAATTTACCAAGAATTTTCTTCTTATACTATTTTTCTTAGATTAAAACTGAGTCATTTAAATATAACAAAATAACAAAATACGAATGAAATTACATTTGAATTGGAGAAATTGAAATGGATTCAAGAGGATGTAAGATAATACTTTTTTGTTGATAAAAAATTTTTTCTTCCACTTGTCAAAGTGATCTGTTGTGAAAGAGAATGCTCATTAAATCGATTCTTATGTAGTTTCATAAAACTTGAGGGAATGTTCTTATACTCTCGCAGGTGCACGTATTGCTCGAGTGCAAGGCTATATAAAGGTTCCTACAAAGATTTTTATGACAAATTTGGGCCCTGGAAAAGTGGCTTGATTTTAAAAAGTGCTTTCCTGGATTAAAACATAATCTAGAAAATATGCTGCAATCAATATTCAGTTCGGAAGCAATTCATGTTTTGAGTACATTGTAAATGTGAACTTCAAAATTCATAAATTATCACTCGAGCATCTCATGTTACCTTTAAAAAAGTAGAAAATTAAATAAGCTAAAAGAAAAAAATTGTTTTTTTGAGTTATCTAGCGCTATATATGAACAGAGGCATGAGCTTTGAACAGCATAAGCTGAACATGTGCATGCATCATTGGCACGATGCAAAACATCCACTGAAATATCAGAATAGTCGAAATTTCTACCAAACTTCACTATGCTAAAATCGATATTTTCCCACATTTCGAATTTCGGTGAAATAGCGATTAGTATGCAACAATCTTCTCTCTCTCTCTCTCTCTCTCTCTCTCTCTCTCTCTCTCTCTTTCTCTCTCTCTCTCTCTCTTTCACAAGAATGTATCATTTAGAAAAATAATAGCAATTCATTCCGAATGCACTGAATAATGATTCCTTTTTTATGCACTGCGTCCACGTGAAAAAAGTGTCTTCTTTCTACTCTGGAATTATGACTCACCGTGGTACACCCTCGCACGTATAAACATTAAAATTACATTGTTATAGTTGTGGCCAAAGTGAAAGGTTCCATTACATATATGCGAATATGAAATGGAAACTAAATTTTAGCAAAAATTTATGCGTAAATAATCCCGCTTAAATTAGCTTTTCGAGGAAGTTACATTTTTGAAAGATTATTTTCAATGCTTTGTCTCCCCGGAACCGATATTGGCTGTTGTTTTTTTACTTTTAATACTTTTTGCGTGAAAAATTTGAATGTACAAAAGAAACAATAAGTTAAGCTGCAGCTTTTTCAAATTGAAAAGCATTCAGTGCAATATTTTTCAAGATATTCTGTCAAAAAAATATTTTTAACTTGTAACGTACAACAAACAAAATCATAGCACTTGTTTCTATATTTTTTAATAGTACTTGATTTTAACATTTAAGGTCTTACTACAGTTACGTGATATAATAAACTTCACTTTTAGCTTTCGACATAGAATTACAAATAATTTATGTAGATTTCATTTATTTGTGAATTCTGATAAATAAGTAGTACATACTTGCATTGATTATAAATCTTGATGTATATTTTCGCCTTTTCCGAAATTCCAATTGTTAAAGCTTAAAAAGTTTAAGAATCGTAAAATCGGTTTGAGAATTTATCAAATAACAAGCTTATCGCTCGGCGTAACATATGTATATATACACACATAATGTTAAGAGCAAATCAGATCAATAGTATCTAATTGCACTCTATAGTCAGGTTGACTTCGAAAGTGATAAATAATTCATGGTAAAAATTAATAATAAGTACTCTTCACATTGACCTATTAGATGCGAGAAAATTCCCGTGAGTTTAATAGCGTAGGTTGTACATCTATGCGCGCGCGTATGTATGTATTTCTAGCTCGCAAAGTAGAAATATACGTGTACAGCCAGACACCTTACGGATATATAGATATATATAACACACATGCTATATGAAACGTCGTTATGGCTTACATAAGTTTTCTCACAAGATCTCAAATTTCATGTTCGCACAGTTCTTCCTTCTGCTTTATATATCTCGCCCAAAAAGAGATATTATTATTTTAAAATATAAATCACCTTTTTCAATTTATGTAGTAAAATTTTATTCGCACCAATTCTAGCACTGCGGAAATTATATTTCCAAAGTACATATTTTATTCTCAAATTGAATGTGCACTTAAAAAACATAACACATATGCAAGTCTACTTGAAGTTAGTAGCGCCCGGCGAATCCTCATTAATGCACTTGAATGACGCATGCCGTGTGCCGTGTGAAAGGCAAAGAAAGAGAAAAAAAATCATAAAGAGCATCAAAATCTCTTCCCTGAGGCTATAATTGCATCAATCATTATGCACCAAGAAGATAAAATATATAGACGTTTAAACTCTTCTTCCTTAAAAGAGGAGGATCGATTGCGATGGCGTGATGTTTTTTTGGGAGATTAGATCACCAATATGAGCTAATAATCAAAACTATTCAAGAATTCTTCGATAGAGAATTGGAAAAATAATTTGTGTAAGGTTAAGATACAGTTTAGGGGATGGGACATTGTATTTCCGTCTAGACGGATATTCAATTTGCTGTCAAGATCGAATAGGAATTATAGAATTTTTTTCTTATTCTCAGAATTCATACTACTAAAGTGAAAACATTGATTTTTGAATGGTTTTGGATCAAGGCTCCATACAAACCATTTGTAAATACATAAGCTTTCACTTTCTTTTTGTGTGAATACATTGCTTGCCAAGCAAATTCGTTTTTTGTCTGTACAAGTTAATCATTATTATTCTTGTCAAGTCATTGCTTCAATACCACCATTCATCCTAAAAATTAAATGCTTATGTTTATATATATATAATGATATATTAAAAATTGACATTGCAGAAATCACTCACGTCAAAATACTCAAGGAGAAAGCGAGTTAAGTATCGACCATCAAGTCTTATACATAATTGCTGAAATTTTTTTTAGAGAAAAGTCTCTTTTGGCTAGCAATCAAGTATTAGTGCATTAAATCTATATATTATCTATGAAATGCACGTGACTATGATGTATAAAAGTTCTCATTGTGTCTGACAAGAATCGGCGAAGCAGCTACCCAACTCTTCGCTCAGACCTCGACTCTCTGTTTGAGGTTTTCTTCAAGTGAACAATGAGACTTTTACTCTCTTTACTTATTCAATGAAATTGAATGAGAGCAAGCACTGTTCTATAAGAGTGGCAATTTTCTACACGACATGCTTCATGTTGCATTCAAGCATTACATTTTATTTTCTCTCACATTATGTATATATATATATATATATTTAAAATTTGCACAAGGATTTACCATGAATTTATTTTTGTCCGTGTTTAAAACAATATACTGGCACGTTACTATTTTCTATTTTTTTCATTGATATTTCAACTGCAACACTATATGACTGCGAATAATAAATACATAATGATAAGTACTTCGAATACAGTTTTTACATACAAAAATTACAAGTGTTAATATTGTGGAAATGTATGAAGGACGGACGCACACACACACACACACACACACACACACACACACACACACACACACACGCGCGCGCGCGCGCGCGCGCACACACACATACACATACACACACATGAAGTTTACAATGAGTGTCCGTAAGTGCGCGAATATTACTTCTAAGCGCGTAGAAAAGCGTTGGCTTTTCGCATTATTGGCCTCAAATGGAGGCTAATATCAGTATACATTTCCCAAATAGCTTTTCATATAAAGCATAAAAAAAGAAAAAATTAAAATAGCAGGAAATCTAACCTCAATTTTTTGGCACCTTGCCCGAGCTCCCTGGAGTCAATTTGACATTAAAATCAAGGTCATTTTTGGCCTTTTCACAATGTTTACGTACCGGAGTCCGTTAACAAGCAGATCACATTCATCCGCAGCGACATAAGGTTGAAATAAATGCAAAGCAATCGAGGGTCTCGGATGAAAAAAATAAGACGCAGTAATTTGCGTAAATGAAAGTGTCATCAACTAATGTAAGTGATACAGAGAAATTGATAGAGAAAGAATGTCTGATCAAACAAAACGAATATAAAATAAGCATTGGTAACGAGATTCATATTGATATCGAAACTGGTCTGACAAACAAACGTGCTGAAAGTTTCGATCAAACTTCAAAAATAGTCGCTGCGGTAGAGATGAGCTTGGACTAAGAGCTTGCATAAGTTTCCGACAACAAGGCAAAAAGCTCCCTACTTATCGCTCGGTTGGCAAAGTAACTCACAGTCGGTAAGTCACCTCTGCTGAATGATAAAGTCGAGGACTTCCGTTTCATCGTTGTGCCGCGAGTATTGACGTATTCTTTGCGATGTCTTGCTGCGCCGCAAGCTCGCGAGATGAATTCCCGCGCGCTTGGTGCCCGCGAAGAGCTTTAGAGGACTTTTGAGAATTCCTTTTTGTCCTGTTCTTCTCTCTCTCTCTTTCTCTCTCTCTCTTTCTCTCTCTCTCTCTCTCTCTCTCTCTCTTTCTCTCTGTGAGCATGCGAGCATCTTCAGAGAATCTTATTGAACCGTCGCTTGCTCGCTCGCTGCTACACTTTTCGGTTTCTAAATCCGATACATACTCTCGGGGATTATTCGTTTTGTATCGACGGACAAGTGATTAACAAGTTCTTGAAGATTTTGTCATTTCAGCCGCGTTTTATTGACTTTTTCACAGTACTTCATTGCCTTCCTATATTTATTTCTTTGTTGCTTGGATACGAATGGATTTTATTTCCGCTTCCTTTCTTTTGTACACTAATGATAGCTCGAATGCCCATGTATTATTCCGATGGTTGCTTAGTCGGACACATTAAAGAAAATTATAAATAGATGCCATGTCTGACGGAAGTTAAACTTGACTACTGTGTATTGATACATGTACTGAATACATAAGTTCTTTGAAGTTATTACTGTATACAGACTTATGATTTCGTATTGCTTTCCAATATTTACCTAGCCGTACATGAAGCATACATTTTTGCTTCTCACCTCACTGTGAAAAATATTTTAATGATAGACGGTTCAATGAGCGTTTAGAATTTAGCTATTTATTTATTAACTAAAGATACTTTAATGAATACAGTCGATTTTATAATATTTACAGTAATGATTTTATATTAATTTTTAAAACACTAATAATGCATTCGTCTGTGTTTTTATTTCCATCTTCTTCTCTATTTATTCACCGAAAGAACATGTTACTTTTACATTTTTCAGCAAGCTTTAAGAATAGCAGAAACTTTTTCAATCTTGTTGTGAACGCGAATCCAAATTTTGATCACACCTACTTTTTCCACGTGTTTTATGCTCCGTAGCCTTTTTGAATTTCAAACATAAAAGCCTACAACTGGCACGTCCGGCGGGAAAGATTTTACCCCTCGTATAAAATAAAATTGAGAGGAAAATTGCCACATGGAAAACGTGAGAAAAATGTCGTACGTTTATTGCTCTCCACCACTCTAAAACTTTTTCGTGTATTCTTTAGAAATGAGAAAATTTAATGAGCTAATATCGTAAAATACCAGAAATAATAATACGGATTATTGTATATACAATTAGGTTTAGCACTTGGGTTTTTATTTTTGACTTTCACTCATATTCTTCGTTCAGTAAAAAAAATTTGATAAAAAGTTCACCTGAATAAATTTTGCACTTTACTTGCGTCTATTACTGCGTATATATACTAAATGTAAATTTCTTAATTATCTGTAAACTTATTCTTATCAAGTGAAAATCACGGCTCATTATCGTGCTCATTTTAATTATAATTTCATGCATGCTTGCTCTGCATAATCTATATATTGCTTGATAATTCATGGCATATATTATATTATGTATTTTCAAAGAAAACGAGAAACAAAAGTTCACAGAATGGTAAGAATGCATTTCTATGCCTGCTAGAACTGAAAGAGCAGTATAAAGTACGAACTACTGTGTCGACACGTGGTTTTGAAAGAGGGTTAAACAAGTGGAGGGCGAGAACGGGTAGAACGACTTCCGATGCGTTTGAAATTTTTTCGCGAAGTACTCCACGGCGACCCAGATAACTCTCTCTCTCTCTCTCTCCCTCTCTCTCTTGCCTGCCTCGAGAAGCCCTGGCATTTGGAAATGAAAAGGCAAAGACGAGCACAGATTCCCTTGTGTCGCATTGTAGTCGTCGCAATCGCGCGACCGATCATTGATCGTACTTGCATTTTTTCCTTTTTCTATCGTTTTTTATTCTCTCATCCTCACTCTCTCGTTTAATTACGTTTCTCTCTTTTTTTACGTGCAGCAAACAAGAATGGCTTTCGAGGCGCTCTCAATGGGCTTTAAATTGGAATCGGCTGCAAGCACAACTACGCTTCGTTTTCTTTCAAATACGTATGGCTCGATTAAAGGCTGGACTGTGATTTCGTTAGTTCTTTTTTTTCTCGTTGTTTGAATGTAAATTTTTTCGAAGGGTTATTCGTGTGTACGCGCTGATGACTTGTACATGGCTTCGGGAATTTACGTCGTTGTATAAAATGCTGAATTCGCATGCTGCCCTGTATCAACTCATGCAGAAAATTTTTTGTCGAGCTTTTTCTGCATCCACACTTTTGTACAGAAAAAAATTACTTGCTAAAAATGAAAATTTGTTACTCTCTGGTAATTAAAAGAAATAAAAATGTCTAGCTTTTTCTAATACTGCATGTCAGGTTTTTTCAGCAGCGTAAAACCTCATTAAAAAACATTCGACTTTTTCTCTCGTAAATTTTTCAACCGGATACACATGCGCCTGTTATCTTTAACATGAATTTTCATTTTCGAGCCAACGACATCACTGGTTTATTTTTCCTTTTTCTGACTAGCAACGACATGCAATGTCGATGAATCTTGCTGATTAACCAACGTTCTAGCCTCTCGACACAGATTAATGCGTCGGTTATTACGATATGCGGCTAACGGGAAAATAATACCTGCATATAGTCACTTCTCTCGATCGCTGCGTCGTCTATGCCGTTGTAATTTTCCAATTTCCAAGGAGTTTGGCTTTCTACATCAAACTGCATACATAATTCTCTTTATTTCCTTACATAGTGCAGTGACATTTATCATGTTTAACCACTATTTATTCTACTAAAATTTATTTGTCTGGTGATTTACTGTTTTTAATACCAGCCGTTATCTTCTATCATTTTTCATTTTTTTTTGTACATGATAAAGGCATATGTTTTAATTACATATACTTTTAAATAGCACACGATAAATATACACTTATATTATTTTCTTGAAAATTGAACGTTTCATCGTAATGCAAATAACATTTTTCCTCACTTCTGTTTATATTAAACAGAGCATTAAAAAAAATATTTGTAACTCTATTTTTGACTATATATTATAATTACTTTAATAAGTAAGAAAATAAATTTAAGTATGTTTAGACAAAAAAAATATTCTGTTCTCAAGTCGAAGCAATGAAATAAAATAGAGAAATTTATAAAGAAAATAGCTAGCTATGGATCAGTGGTAGAGAGAGAAAATCGGATAAATTGGAAAAGTCAGCACGGATGTCGGCATAGATACGAAAATTTAAAACACGATATTAAATCGATCACTATTCCAGATAATACAACATAAAACTACTTTACATTATATTATGACATAAAATTCAACTCTTTCTTATGTTCGCGTTACAAATGAGCATAGAAAAGGAAAAATATTAATTTTCCTAATTAATGTTTAATTTTCAATTCACATCTGATTGTAGCCGCATTTTTCTACTTCAGGAAAGCATTGCAATGTAGTATAAATACTGCAAATACATAGTGTCTGTACGTATATAACTTGTTGTATCATCAACATAATATATTATATCATATCACTAGATTTCAGGCGATGTAATATAATGTACCCATATTTTCATGGGATATCTA